TTTGTAATCCCAGCACTTTGGGAGGTCAAGACGGGTGGTTTGATACCAGCCTGGGCGAGATGGCGAAACCTGTCTCCACAGAAAATGTAAAAACTTAGCTGGACATGTTGGCATGTGCTTGTAGTCTCAGCTACTCAGGGGACAAAGGCAGGAGAATCATTTGAGCCCAGGAAGTCAAGGCTGTGCTGAGCCGTGACCGCACCACTGCACTTCAGCCAAGGTGACAGAGTCAGACTGTCTCAAAACAAAAAGAGAAAGATTAAAAGATATCAACAGCTAGAGAAACCAAACCATCTACCCAGAAAAGTAAATGTCATTCCTAAGGACCGTTTCGTATTGTTGGGGAAAATGCCCTAAATGTTTCCTATAACAGTTATCGATTGCCACAAAACACATTTTCCCAAAATATAACTACTTAGAGACAAACTGCCGTTGCAAAATTATGACGTAAGAGAAATCTGACATAGTTGATTCCATCTTGCATATAACCTCCAAGCTGTCCTTGGTCATTCCTGGGTGTAGGGCAAGTTAATCTTGGGGAAAAATTTAGTTTATTCCAGCAAGGATGATGCCAACCCTTCCCAAAATTAAACTGCCTTCATAAAGCCAGTAAAGGCCACAAGGTTAGGATGATGAGAGGGGCCTGAATTCTGCTAAGACAGAGTTATTAAATGATAACCAGCCATTGTTCTGAGGTCACAAGATTTGCAGCCTCCACAGTTGCCCCTGTAAAGAAAATCTCTATTGTAGCACCTAAGATTGGTCTTTTGAGATGTTTTTGCAGACTTTTGCATTAGGGCAACTGACTGACCCCACCTGCTTGCAATTTGTGACTCAACAGGTCCCGAGGCCCTGCCCACATGGGGACCTAGCCTCCAGGACCATTTTCCACATCCTACGATTCCATCCCCAACCAATCAGCATTCCCTGTTTCCTAGGCCCCCCTGCCCACCAAACTATCCTTGAAAAACCCAAACCTCTGAGCCTTGGTGGGGGGGTTGGGGGGGAGGACCGCTTTGAATACTAACTCCCTCTTCTGCGAGGTCGGCCTCACATCAATCACATTTTCTTTGCTGCAATGCCATAGCCTCAGTGAATTGATATTTATCTGTGCAGAGGGCGGGAGAAAGCCTTTGGGCAATTGCAAAACAGAATTCATTATCTCTTGTAGTTTATGTGGGTCTGGGTTCGAGGAGCAGCTCAGCTGAATGGTTCTGGCTCAAGGTCTGTCATGAGGTTGCAGTCTCTAAAGATACAACTGGGGCTGCAGGATTCACTCCCACCTCACTGGTGGAGCTACTGGCATGACGCTCTAGTTCCTTGGCACATGGTCCTCCCCAGTGTGCTAATATGGTTTCAGCCAGAGCGAGTGATGAGACGGAGAGATGACAGGGATAGAAAACCAAAAGAAGTGCAGTCCTTTATCATCAGACCTAGGAAGAGACATGCCATGACTTCTGGTTATTTCTATTGGTCTGAAGATCAGCCTTGGCACATTGTGGGAAGGGACAGCACAAGGTGTGACTACCAAAAGAGATAAATCATTGGGGTCTCTCTTGGAGGCTGGCTCCCACTCTGTTCCCTAGACCCCATAAATCCACAGTCCTCCCACATGTAAATATATTCACCAGCTCCCAAAGAACAAAACAGTCCCGTCAGCTCACAGCATCAGCCTAGAGTTCATCTTATCTACGTTAGGTCCAGGGGCAGATGGCAACCCTAGGGTGTGGTTCTAGGTACAGCTCTAAGACACAGTTCCTCCTGATCTGCAGGGCTGAGAACTAGAGACGAGTTGTCACCCTCCCAACCCCCAGCATGCAGTGGCGGGACAGTTACATGATTCCCAGATGCTCCTGCTCAGAAAGGCCGCAAATGAAAGGTACACACACTGCTGGTCCATAAGCAGTTGTGAAATCCAGCTGCGTGAGCACTGGGACCCAGGGCTACTCGTGCCAGGAAATGACTTTCCAGACTCTTGACTACCCTGGGAGGCCTTGATTTCATCTTAGAAGTCACACTTTTGCATGAAAGGTAGCATGGATTTACAGCAGAGCATTTTTCTCACTTGCTTCCCGCCTGTAGAACCTTGCAATCTGAAGGCCTGTTTTGTGTTTTTTTGGTGAGGGGGTTTACTTTGTCTCTTTCAGTTCAAGTTGACCAGGTTACTGCTGATGTAATTATTTTTTTAAACATTGTCTTTTCTGTGAACCATATTGAGGCATGATCTCTGATTTTTCTTTTTGCTTTTAGAGATGAAGTCTTGTTCTGTTGACCAGGCTGGAGTGCAGTGACATGATCTTGGCTCACTGCGTCCTCAGTCGCCGAGCCCATCCCACCTTAGCTTCCCAAGCATCTGGGACTACAGGCACATGCCATTGTGCCAGGCCAATTATTTTTTGCAGAAATAGGTTTTTATCTTGCCCATGCTGGTCTTGAACTCCTGCGTTCAAGCGATCCTCCCATCTCAGCCTCACAAAGTATCAGGATTACAGGTGTGAGCCACTCTGCCTGGCCCACCTTTGACTTCTCTCAGATTTTAACAAAGGATTTTATAGTTATACCCTCACTTTAATCTTTACACCATATTTTCATGAGTGTTCTGAATTTAATCTTTGCACTGAAGCCTCTTCTAAATGTTAGAGTAATGATTTGCCACCTGAAGAAGCTGCGAATCTTCCAAACCAGTGAGCCCTGGTTTCTTTTCAACAGTTCTTCCTTTAGCTTATTTCATTCCTCTTATTTTATTATAAGCAGCAAGAAGTAACCAATGACATTTTCAGTCTAGTTGGAAACAGACTTAGCTAGATCACTCATTCATTAGCTGTATTTTCCATTTTCCACATTACTATGGGTGATAGCGTTGCTGAACTTTCTGCCTCTAACCAGGACTTCCCTTTCTCCAGCTTCCAGGAATAATTCCAAGTTCAAGTGATCCTTGTGCCTCAGCCTCCCAAGTAGCTGAGACTGCAGGTGCTCGTCACCACGCCTGGCTAATTTTTGTATTTTTAGTAGAGAGGAGGTTTCACCATGTTGGCCAGACTACTCTTGAACTCCTGGGGCCTCAGGTGATCTGTCTGCCTTGGCCTCCCAAAGTGTTAGGATTACAGGCATGAGCCACCACGCCTGGCCAAAAACTTTTTTAGAGGTGGGGTTCTTGCTATGTTGCCCAGACTGGTCCTCAAATTCCTGGGCCCAAGAAATCCTCCTGCGTTAGCCTCCTAAGTAGCTGGGACTACAGGTGTGAACCACCATGCCTGACTCTAACTGTGATGCTTTTATCCGAAATTTGAAGGCACTGTGGGCTTTCACCAGTGCTCTCCTCAAAGCGTACTGCCGGATTCCAAAGCCACTCCTGCACAGGAGGATTTTGTTAAGGCTGCACCTTGCTAACAGATACACACATCTGTGTTAATTATTGCTCCATTACAAATGAACTCAAAACTTAGCTGCCTCAAACATATGACCTCACAAATTGGGAGCATCCTAGCCCGATGGTTCTGGCTCGAGGCTTACGTGCAGTTGTACTCAAGCTGCTGGCCAGAGTGGCCGGCTCTGAAGACTTGGCTGGGACCTGAGGTGACCTCTAAGCTTCCTCTCGTTGCTGTGGGCAGGAGGCTTCAGTTCCTTGCTTAGGCCTCTCCATGGGGCCACTTACACAGGACTTCTTCCCCCAGAGTGAGGGACCCAAGAGAGACCACCAGGACAGCCATGGTCTATTATAACCTAATCTCAGAAGGGAGATACTATCACTTTTTTTTTTTTTTTTTTTTTTTAAGACTCAAGTGATCCTCCCGCTTCAGCCTCCCTAGTAGCTAGAACTACAGGAATGTGCCACCATGCCTGGCAAATTTTTGTATTCTATAATTTTTGTATTTTATATTCTTTGTAGAGAAGACCATGTTGCCCAGGCTGGTCTTGAACTCCTGGCCTCAAGCAATCTGCCTGTCTTGCCCTCCCAAAGTGCTGGGATTACAGGCATGAGCCACTGCACCTGACCTCATTGTTTCCAATGTGAGATAGTCTAGAACCAACCTGCCCTCCCACCCCAAATTTAAGGTTGAGACAACTTACTGTTTATTTTCAAAGAAGTATTAGGTATCTAACATACAGTAGGTACTTCTGAGGGCAAGAAAAGACACAGTCCTTGCCTTTAAGGAATTGCCTATTAAGAAAAAACACCTATAATACAGTGTAATAAATTCTACAGGAGAGGTATAAAGGGAATGCCCAGAGAGCCAGATAAGCAGACTTTTTTTTTTTTTTGAGAGAGTCTCCCTCTGTTGCCAGATTGGAGTGCAGTGGCGCAATCTTGGCTCACTGCAACCTCCGCCTCCTGGGTTGAAGCAATTGTCCTGCCTCAGCTTCCCGAGTAGCTGGAACTACAGGTGTGCACCACCACATCTGGCTGATTTTTGTATTTTCAGTAGAGCCAGGGTTTCACCATGTTGGCCAGGCTGGTCTCCATCTCTTAACCTTGTGATCCACCCACCTGGGCCTCCCAAAGTGGTAGGATTACCGGTGTGAGCCACCATGCCTGGCCTGAGGAGACTTTTATTTACTTTTTTGAGACAGTTTTGCTTTTGTTGCCCAGGCTGGAGTGCTATGGTGCAATCTCAGATCACCGCAACCTCTGCCTCCCAGGTTCAAGTGATTTTCCTGCCTTAGCCTCTCGGGTAGCTGTGATTACAGGCATGCGCCACCACGCCCAGCTAATTTTTTGTATTTTTAGTAGAGACGGGGTCTGTCCATGTTGATCAGGATGGTCTCCAACTCCAGACCTCAGGTGATCCACCTGCCTTGGCCTCCCAAAGTGCTAGGATTACAGGCGTGAGCCACCGCACCCAGCCAGTAAGCAGACTTTTAAAACAGCACGGAAAAAGAAAGGAGTAGAAAAAAGTTAAGAGCCTTTTATAACCACACTTGTGAATTTGTGTTATAGTGCATGACTTTGTCATTACAGATTTATAAGCAGGAGAGGGAAGTGATCAGATAGATTTTTTAAAATTCGCCTAAGTTTTAATGCTTTCATAGTTTTATTTTTAAAAATAGTGATTCATTTGGAACTTTGTAAATGTTACAATTAATACAAGAAAAAAAGTATATAAGTTGCAAACATGAGTTAATCAACTGCAATGCATACCCATCAGAAAGAATTTTAAAGCCTTCAAGAGCTTTGAAACTTCTTTCAAGTTTGTAATTTCACAGAAATACAGCAGAATAAACATTCCTGCTAAGACTCTGAAGGATTTGACTAAATCATGAAATATTCATTGGGTGGAAAGATGGATTGAAGAGGCAGAAAGCAAAGTTCTACAGCTTTGTTTTCTAACACACTGAGAAATGTCAGCTGGGAAAATATTAATTACTGAGTACCTAACTGTATATATTTTTACCTCATTCTCATTTGGGACATTATAAAATGGCACAGTCCACACATTATTATATGCAGAAAGCAATCATTTTCCAATCCTATTCCCACAGATAGCAGCATTCAAGTGTTTACTGCCATGAGCTCAATCGAGGTATAGTGTGATTTTCAACGTGAAGCCTTTATTGTGTCAGAAGGTCATGGCACAGCTGAGTTCATGCAGAACAGGGAGCTCGCTCTTCTTCCCTAGTTGCTCTGCTCCTTCTCTTCCAGGATGAGTACAGTGTCCACAGTTATTCCAATGTCCTCCAGAGACTGGCCTCCCTCCACAGCCAAAGGCCGTCTGGGAAAGGAAGTAGAAAGGCTGTATAGAGATGTGTGGTACCCAATTCTCATCATCCAGTCAAATAAGACCTAGAAGATAAAAAGCTTAGCTTAGTCATTATCAAATACTTGACAAACTGTGTCCCTTTACACCTCTGTAACATTTTACAATTTTGTCAATGTAACATCATATGCCTAGGAGTAATGAGACAGAGCTTTCATACCTTTCAAATAAACTTTGTAGAATTTAAAGGAAAATAGCTTGCCATGAGTTTTGAGATAGGAATTTTTTTTTTTTTTTTTTTTGAAACAGAGTTTTGCTCTTATTGCCCAGGCTGGAGTGCGATGGCGTGATCTCAGCTCACCGCAACCTCTGCCTTCCAGGTTCAAGAGATTCTCCTGCCTTAGCCTCTCAAGTAGCTGGGATTACAGGCGTGCACCACCACACTCAGCTAATTTTGTATTTTTAGTAGAGATGGGATTTCTCCAGGTTGGTCAGGCTGGTCTTGAACTCCTGACCTCGGGTGGTCTGCCCACCTCAGCCTCCCAGAGTTTTGGGATTACAGGCATGAGCCACTGCACCCAGCAGAATATTCTTTTTTCCTTTCTTTCTCTAGCAATCGGACTGAGACTTTTTTTTTTGAGATGGAGTTTTGTTCTTGTTGCCCAGGCTAGAGTGCAGCGGCGCGATCTCGGCTCACTGCAACCTCTGCCTCCTGGGTTCAAGTGATTCTCCTTCAGCCTCCCAAGTAGCTAGGACTACATGTGTCTGTCACCATGCCCAGCTGATTTTTGTATTTTTAGTAGAGATGGGGTTTCACCATGTTAGCTAGGATGGTCTCGATCTCATGACCTTGTGATCCACCCGTCTCAGCCTCCCAAAGTGATGGGATTACCGGTGTGAGCCACCGTGCCTGGCACATTTTTAATGCATATGTAATTATATGTTTAAATGTACTTAGAGATGGAAATATACCGAAATGTTAGTTCCTGGTTTTGGCATGCGATTACAGGTCAATTTTTTTCTCTGCTTTTCCATGTGTTCCCAATTATCACTAACAACCACAGTTTTGTTGTTATTTACTATTTTTGAGACAGAATCTTGCTCTGTCACCCAGGATGAAGTGTGGTAGCACGATCTCAGCTCATTGTAACCTCCGCCTCCCAGGGTCAAGTGATTCTCCTGCCTTAGGCTTCTGAGTTGCTAGGATTACAGGCATCCAGCACCATGCCTGGCTAATTTTTGTGTTTGTAGTAGAGACGGGGTTTCACTATGTTGGCCAGGCTGGTCTCAAATTCCTGACCTCAAGTGATGCATGCACCTGCCTTGACCTCCTAAAGTGTTGAGATTACAGACCTGAGCCACTGCACCCAGTTCACAGTATTGTTTAAAAGGAAAAAAAAAAAAAAGTCTAAAGTTTTTTAGTGGCTACTTCCTAAGGCTTTAAAAGCATCTTACCAGCTGGGTACAGTGGCTCACCCCTGTAATCCCAGCACTTTGAGAGGCCAGGGCAGGCAGATCACAAGGTCAAAAGATCAAGACCATCCTGGTTAACATGGTGAAACCCAGTCTCTACTAAAAATACAACAAATTAGCTGGCTGTAATGGTGTGTGCCTGTGGTCCCAGCTACTTGGGAGGCTGTGGTTGCAGTGAGTTGAGATCATGCCACTGCATTCCAGCCTGGCAACAGAGTGACACTGTCTCAAAAAATAATAATAAATAAATAAAAGCATCTTACCCATCAAATTATGAAAATGTAATGAAAACAAACAAGAAAGGAAAAATAAGCCAAAGGGAAAAGTTGAGTAAAATGTGAATGCAGACATTACAATACAGAGACACCCGGCATGCCCGCCTAGCTAGCCACATTTCCGCAATGTGGAGTGCCTGGAAATGTCCTTTATCCACAGCTGACGGGAGGTGCAGATGACAGTGTGATAACACCTTCCCCATGGCATGTGAATAAACTATTGCCAAAGTTAACAAAGCTATTTCTCAAAATGCGGATTCCCTTACTTACCTGTGAGCTGCAGGACTTCAAAAACCTTCTCCTCAGGACACTCCCACTGGGACATCGGAGAGCAACTGTAACTACCTGCGGAAGAAAGATTCACATAAGAACTCCGATCCATTGCTCTCTGCAATTCCTTTCATTCGATAAAACAGCTAAGCAGATAAAAAGAACTTAGGTGCTGGCAGGGCATGGTGGTGGCTCACACCTGTAATCCCAGGACTCTAGGAGGCTGAGGCAGGTGGACCACTTGAGGCCAGGAGTTCAAGACACCAGCCCCTACAAAAAATAGAAAAATTAGCTAGACATGGTGGCGTGCGCCTGTAGTTCCAGCTGCTTGAGAGGCTGAAGCGGGAGAATTGCCTGAGCCCAGGGAATCTGAGGTAGCAGTGAGTTGTGATCATACCACTGCACCCCAGCCTGGATGACAGAGCAAGACTGTTGTTTAAAAAAAAAAAAAGACATTATAAAATGAGAAGATGACAAATTAGTATATTTATTTTTCACCTGTCAAGAAATCTTTTCTTATGACTAACATGATTATTAAGTGTGCTGGGAGTTATGTGGGTATCATATTATGCATAAGTGGTGGTTTTAGAGTGGCAGCCCTCCGTCTCAGGAAAGCCATGTTAGCAAATATTTCCAATCAGGCCAGAGGAGGTGGCTCAGGCCTGTAATCCCAGCATTTTGGGAGGCTTGGTTGGGTGGATCACTTGAGGCCAGGAGTATGAAACCAGCCTGGCCAACATGGTGAAACCCCAACTCTACTAAAAGTACAAAAAATTAGCTAGGTGTGGTGGCATGCACCTGTAATCCCAGCTACTCAGGAGGCTTAGGCAGGAGAATCACTTGAACCCGGGAGGCGGAGGTTGCAGTGAGCAGAGATCACACCACTGCACTCCAGCCTGGGAGGCAGAGCAAGACTGTCTCAAAAAAACTTCCAATCAAGAGGTTAAGGGATTTCATTCACACCTAAATCAGTGTAATGTTAAGCCTATTACATGAAAGTTCTGCACTGCTATTACTTTCACTAAAGAAAGCTTTCATAGTAAATGATAAAAGAACTGAATCACAGATGAAAAACCAATTTTATTTTTATTAATTTTTTTTCTAACAGGGTGACATTTAAAATTTTTCTTGACAGATGGGGTCTCACTAAGTTGCTCAAGCTAGTCTCAAACTCCTGGGCTTAAGTGATCCTTCTGCCTCAGCTTCCTAAAGTGCCAGGATTACAGGCATGAGTCACCACACCTGGCCTGCTTATTTTTATTTTATTTTTTATTTTTGTTTTTTGAGATGGAGTCTCACTCTGTCAGCCAGGCTGGAGTGCAGTGGCTTGATCTTGGCTCATTGCAACCTCTGCCTCCTGGGTCCGGGTGCTGCTTCTGCCTCAGACTCATGTTTAACCATGTTGTCCAGGCTGGTCTCCAACTCCTGACCTCAAGTGATGCACCTGCGTCAGCCTGCTCGATCCCTCCCAAAGTGCTGGGATTATAGGCATAAGCTACTGCACCTAACATGGCCTGCTTATTTTTAGAAACAATATTTAATTTTTACATTGAGGTTTTGTTTACTTCAGTAATTTCACAGGAGGATTAAAGCCAATTGCCTTATGAGAAATTAGCATTAAAATATACTGAATTAGGCCAGGCATGGTGGCTTATGCCTGTAATCCCAGCACTTTGGGAGTCCAGCGTAGGGTGGGGGGATCACCGGAGATCAGGAGTTCGAGACCAGACTGTCCAACATGGGGATAACCATCTCTACTAAAATAACAAAAAAACCTAGCCAGGTGTGGTGGCAGGTGCCTGTAATCCCAGCTACTTGGGAAGCTGAGGCAGATGAATCACTTGAACCTGGGAAGCAGAGTTTGCAGTGAGCCGAGATCACACCACTACACTCCAGCCTGGGCAACAGGGTGAGACCCTGTCTCAAAAAAAAAAAAATTATTTTTTCACCAGACAGAAATGAAATATCACTGTTTGAAATGTGGCAACTGTCCGACTACAACTACTGTAATGGTTGACTGCAATTTTTCCTAATCTTACTGACAGTGTAGTGGACTGACATACAAATGGGTAAAATCCATGAGCTGCAACCCAAATTGGAAAGGAAATCAGTATGCCAAACAGAGATTAAGTGAAATCTAATTTTAAAAGTAGCAATAATTAAAACCTGTTTCACAGCTACTCCTTAAAATGAAGCAAGGTAGCATACAATAACAAAAGTTATTACAGTGGTAATATGGTTTTGTTTGTTTGAGACAGAGTCTCGCTCTGTTGCCCAGGCTGAAGTGCAGTGGTGTGAACCGGGCTCTCTGCAACTTCTGCCTCCAAGGTTCAGGCAAGTCTCACGCCTCAGCCTCCTGAACAGCTGGGATTTCAGGTGAGTACCACCACACCTGACTGATTTTTGCATTTTAGTAGAAACAGGGTTTCACCATGTCGGTCAGGCTGGTCTTGAACTCCTGGCCTTAAGTGATCCATCCAAAGTGCTGTGTGATGATTTACAAAATTATCTTCAAATTCTCTGAAACTCTATGGTTACTGTTTCAATTAAAAAGTAGAACAGTAACATATGGTGACTATTCCATTAAGAATTCTGGACTTCGCTTATAGCCATTACTGGAGGTAATGAAAAAAAAAAAAAAAAAAAAAGAATTCTGGACTACCATGAGTTACTTTCCTCTCTCTTTTTCAAAATCTAAACGTGAACATTTTAGAATTCTACAGATAGCTACAATACTAAATACTTAACAGGTGCTGAATAAATCAGAGTGTACTCCTTAAGTACAAACTGCATTATTTTTCATGTCCCTCCCTTTTATTTTTATTTTTGAGATGGAGTCTCGCTCTGTTGCCCAGGCTGGAGTGCAATGAGGCAATCTCGGCTCACTGTAACCTCCACCTCTCAGGTTCAAGAGATTCTCCTGCCTCAGTTTCCCGAGTAGCTGGGATTACAGGGATCCGCCTCCCCAGCTAATTTTTGTTTTGTGGTAGAGAGGGGGTTTTATCATGCTGGCCAGGCTGGTGTCAAACTCCTGACCTCAGGTGATGCATGGCCTCACAAAGTGCTGGGGTTACCGGCGTGAGCAACAGCCTCATGCTGCCCTCCTCTTAGCAGAAATCCATGTTAGTCACTAGTTTCCTCATTAAGAGCCTGTTCCTAAATCCAGGCAGGCTTTGTACGCCTGTAATCCCAGCTACTCAGGAGGCTTAGGTAGGAGGATCACTTGAACCCAAGATTTCAAGATTAGCCTGGGCAACCCAGCAAGACCTTGTCTCCGAAATAAATAAGAAATTTTCGGCCAGGCACGGTGGCTCAAGCCTGTAATCCCAGCACTTTGGGAGGCCGAGGCGGGTGGATCATGAAGTCATGAGATCGAGACCATCCTGGTCAACATGGTGAAACCCCGTCTCTACTAAAAATACAAAAAATTAGCTGGGCATGGTGGCACATGCCTGTAATCCCAGCAACTCAGGAGGCTGAGGCAGGAGAATTGCCTGAACCCAGGAGGCGGAGGTTGCGGTGAGCCGAGATCGCGCCATTGCACTCCAGCCTGGGTAACAAGAGCGAAACTCCGTCTCAAGAAATTTTCTTATATGGTTATAGAGTCACTACATATCTAAAATATATATCAATATAGTGATATATATTCATTTAGTTCTAATAACTTTGTTTTTATTTTTCTTTTCCTTTTTTTGAGTTGGAGTCTTGCCCTGTCAACGAGGCTGGAATGCAGTGGTGCAATCTCTGCTTACTGCAACCTCCCCCTCCCAGGTTCAAGCAATTCCCCTGCCCCGGCCTCCCAAGTAGCTGGGACTACAGGCATGCACCACCACGCCTGACTAATTTTTTTGTATTTTTGGTAGAGATGGGGTTCCACCATGTTGGTGAATCACTTGAATCTGGGAGGCAGACATTGCAGTGAGCTGAGATGGTGCCACTGTACTCCAGCCTAGGCGACGGAGCAAGACTCCATCTCAAAAAAAAAAAAGACAACAAGATCTAGTCCCATGAGAACAGGAGAATTATGAAAGACGGAAGGGGCCAGCCTGGGCGACAGAGCAAGACTCCATCTCAAAAAAAAAAAAAGACGACAAGATCTAGTCCCATGAGAACAGGAGAATTATGAAAGATGGAAGGGGACATCTGAAGACATTTGAAGTCATCCAGGCTTATGAATGTTCGATGGGGAATTTAAAATATTTGCCTTGCATTCTTAGGAATCTATGAGCAGTAGAAATGGCCTAGGTAGAAAATATCTTGCCCAATGATTATTCTGACAGAATCAAAATATTCTAATATTTATTGGCTTGTCTTGATTAATGTAGAATAAAATACACTGTAAAAGTTCAAGTAGTATCAACTATACATTACTAGTATTCTTTTTATTTGAGGTAGGATCTTGCTCTGTCACCCAGGCTGTTAATTCCCCAGGCTCAAACAATCCTCCCATCTCAGCCTCCAAGTAGCTGGGACTACAGATGTGTGTCACCACATCTGGCTAATTTTTTTTGTATTTTGTAGAGAATGGGGTTTGGTCATGTTGGTCAAGCTGGTCTCGAACTCCTAGGCTCAAGCAATCTGCCCAGCTCAGCCTCCCAAAGTGTTGGTATTACAAGCATGAGCCAGTGCACCTGGTCCATCAGTGATAATCTTAATAAAACTTTATGTAATATAAAAATTGTACTGATTAAAACCATATATGGAGGGTCAGGTGTGGTGGCTCACGCCTGTAATCCCAGCATTTGGGTGGGCAGATCACTTGAGGTCAGGAGTTCAAGACTAGCCTAGGCAACATAGTGAGACCCTGTCCCTTTTTTTTTGAGACAGAGTCTTGTTCTCTCTCCCAGGCTGGAGTGCAATGGCACAATCTCAGCTCACTGAAACCTCTGCCTCCCAGGTTCAAGCAATTCTCCTGCCTCAGCCTCCCGAGTAGCTGGGATTACAGGCGCCTGCGACCGCCCCCAGCTAATTTTTGTATTTTTTAGTAGAGATGGATTTTCACCATGTTGGTCAGGCTAGTTAAGAACTCCTGACCTCAGGTGATCCACTTGCCTTGGCCTCCCAAAGTGCTGGGACTACAGGCTTGAGCCACTATGCCCAGCCCATCTCTATTTGTTAAAAAAAATCCTAGTTACAGTATAGTCACATGAACACTTATGCTATCATTTCTTTCAAAACCCAAGTTTAGATAAGACATATGTAACTGATGTTAAACAGAGAAAATAAGTTCAATTTTCAAAGAGAAAAACAGACTTACTTCTTCTGCTGTTACAGTAGGTTCTTCAGGTAAATCAGGAATCTAAAGAAAAGTAAGTATTGGTAAAAGGAATGTGAACATTTTCAAGAAGCAAACAAAAGTGTCAATGAGAAGAGTTCCTTTCAATATAGAGTTTAGACATACATCTAAGCTTACTGAAATCTTTTCTTTAAATATACGTCTATAAAAGTTTTATCATGAAAATGGGAGCTCAATTAATAAACATTTTTGGGCAAGTGTGCTAAAAATTAATCTTAAAAATAGGATTTAATAGCTCCCAACCTATATACACTTAAAAGAATTTTGCTTTTTAGGCTGGGCACAGTGGCTCATGCCTGTAATCCCAGCACTTTGGGAGGCCAAGGTGGGCAGATCACAAGGTCAGGAGATCAAGACTAGCCTGGCCAACATGGTGAAATCCCGTCTCTACTAAAATACAAAAAATTAGCCGGGCATGGTGGTGTGTGCCTGTAGTCCCAGCTATTGGGGAGGCTAAGATTGCAGTGAGCCGAGATTGCACCATTACATACCAGACTCTGTCTCAAAAAATAATAATAATCAGAGATTTAGACCACATCAAAACATTTGCTACCAGGCAAGGCGTGGTGGCTCATGCCTGTAATCCCAGCACTTTGGAAGGCAGACACAGGCAAATCATGAGGTCAGGAGTTCGACACCAGCCTGGCCAACATGGTGAAACCTCACCTCTACTAAAAATACAAAAATTATCTGGGCATGGTGGCACACACCTGTAGTTCCAGCTACTCAGGAGGCTGAGCAGGAGAATCACTTGAACCTGTGAGGTGGAGGTTGCAGTAAGCCGAGATCGGGCCACTGCACTCCAGCCTAGTGACAGAGCAAAAAACTGTCTCAAAAAAAAAAAAGAAAAAAAAATTGCTACAAATGACTTCGTCTCCAGAAATCCCTTTTATTGATCAATACCATAGAGTATATTTATAACATTTAATCTAACAAACATTACTTGCATTTACTAAATAACTCATTTGTTTTCCTTTGGTATCAAAAGCATACGTGACTGTCAAGTAAAATTTGCCATCAGCATAAGATAGTGTTGTTAACAAAACACAAAGAAACTTGAATTTTTAATCAGTCCATTTAGTTAATTTGATCTTTTTCAAATGTCAGTGATAGTTCAATAATTCCCTGCTGAGACTCCCTGCTGAATCTCCACTACAGGACCAGGAAATCTGAAACTGAGAAGCAATATATTAGAAACTACTTTCAGAGAATAGACAGGCCTCCCAGCTTTCCCTAAGGGCTGGTAAAAACAGATTTATTTCCAATTTTTTCCAGCTCCAATTGGAATTAATTTAGGGATTAAAGATTTGAATGAAAAACGTGTATAATAAACCTGGGCAGTATTCCAATGTGACTGATTGCTAATCTATTCCCTAGAAGGGCCAGTAAGGAAAATTACACACTCATGTTAATAACAGCTGTTAGCCACTCACAAGGTAGGGCTTGATAATGTCTTAAGTTAATAGGAATGCCCCCCTTTGTAAGCATTGTATTTCTGTCTCTCTCTTTTTTTTTTTTTTT